TGACAATTTGAGAGAGATGTTCTTTCTGAGAACAAACACTGACCTTCCTCAGAATCCTCCCCATATTGTTCCAGTTCAACTCATTCCCAAGAGAGGCCTGTAAAGGTCAGCTCTGGGTGTGAACTTCCCTGTAGTAAGGGGATTTCAGCTCCACTATTCCCATTTAGTCCCATATCTCTAAATAATACCTTTGTTGCACAAAATGATCTGTTCGTGCTGAAACGCACGAAGCTGCGTTGTATATCACATTCCGTCTAGACAGGACGTATTGTACTGTCTGAAGATCACCACCTGCCTGAAAAGGAAATCAGGGCTTTTTGGTGCGTTTTTTCTTTGGAACTATGCTACTCTCTCAAACCTAGTTGATTTGTGTAGCCACTTAATCATAAGAGCATGCTTTTTTCATCATTATTGTTAGAGAAATGCCAAGTGGTTTTGTAGCAATTCAACATGGAACAAATACAGCAAATTTAGCTAATCTCTGTATTCAGCCTTGGAAAATTGCACTGGAAATTTACTGGCCCAGATACAACCTCTACTTGCCTGCTTGTTACCATGGTGATTGATAATAATTATAAACAAATAGTGTTTTATGTACCCATTCAAAAAAAAGTATTCACCCCAGGCAAGTGAGTGACTAGCAACTTGCAAGGCAGATGTAATCACTCAAAAATGGTACATAATCCAAGACTCCACTCAGCATAAACAGCATCAGATCCTGCCCAGTAGCTTGAGATGTTTATTCTAAAGCCAAGGACATTTTAATTAGGACACTTTTAGGTTTTTGTGCTTATTAACTGGTGACATATTTTAAGGGTTAATTATAAAAAAACAAACCTCTGTTGTTACAGTATGTTAAACCTGACATAGTCTTTTTACCTACAAGATAAAATTAGGTAGGATCAGAATTTTGAATTATTCATGACTTTTTCTAACCAATTTTTCCTCCTCTCCTCCTCCTTTGTTCAGTATCAAATCTTCTTTGCGTTCCTTTCACTCAAGATGAAAGCATTATTAAGTCTAGGAAGTGAAACATCCCAAAGACATGTAGTTCAGTGAAATCCTTGTCCTGTAATCCTAACATTCTATTCAGTGCCAGTATTCAATATCCTCCTTCCTATATAAGCGCCACAATATATCAGCAGTTGATGAGATTTATTTGTTATACTCCTGCTTTCCTTCTTCATGAAAACCTTAATCCATTCTTTTACTCCCTTAGGAGCCACATTGATGTGGGTGATTGGTTCTGCTATGCTTGCTAATCCAGCAACTCTTCTCTTCATTCAAATTGCTGTAATGTTTGCCGAGGGGATATGCTTGTTTAGGGTTAGGCTAGCACATGTGCTGAGTTTTAAAAGCATTATTAATATCTAATTATAATCTGACATGCTTGGGTAATGTCTGAATATAAATATTAGCAGGGTTTCTTCTGGAAACTGCTTTGTAAACTAATGCTTGAATTAAACAGTTTGGCCGTTTTTTAGGGCAATCGGAATTATTTCTGGCAATTAATGGAGACAGGCTACTGGACTAGATGGACCTCAGGTCCGCTGGCTGGGAGAAAGGGAAGTGCAGTGGGGAAGGGGCTGATGGGAATTGTAGTGCCCTGCTTTGCAGCGCCATCATCCTATGTTTCCTAGTTGCTACATTCCTGTTGACTTCACTGGAAGCCCCGTGCATGAGTTCAAGGGGAAAATATGGCTTTTCGTGCCATGGTGTTGTCTCTTCAGAAATATACACATTTCTAGCCAGAAAAAAGAAAGCCTCAATTATTACTAAGACTAAAATGTCAAAGAATGTTGCTCTTGGTTTACAAGTGTAAAATCCTTTGCCTCTAACCTTTCAAAAGTAAATCACCTCTGTTAATGTAAAATTCAAAATACAGAGAATTTAGTATGCAAATAGCATGTATGCCAAATGCATCTAAGGGGAGCATGCATATTTCCATAGAAAACAAATGTGAGTGCAGAAAAGCAAATGTTTTCTACCAATAGAGCATATACACAGTTCTCAAGAGGATCTGTCTAGCAATTTATTTTCAAATTGTTGGAAGTATGCAAATTCCTCAGAATTAAACGTGAAGTTAAAAGAAATGGCTTCTATTAAGGACAAGGCAGTCCAAAGAGGCAACTGGGAATTTAATAATTCAATCAAGTATTGTAACCGGCCCAGCAGTATATCTAAAGGCATCGACTCAAATGTCCGTTGAGCTTATCAAGGAGATAAGTGGCATTTTTGGAAAGATGTCTTCTAGAGTGTTGCATTTGGATCCTTTATCTGTCATTCATACAGAAGCCGGAGAGTTGTGATAATGTGGCATGCGGGATAGTTCCATTTAACGGCTGAGTCTACTCTGAAAAGGGTATGTTTAAAAGTGGCACCTTCTTACTCAACAGAGCTGCTCCCTGTGTGTAGTCAGTGCTACAGCTGATTTGTATAGCAACAAATATAAGTGGTGACTACTTGTTACTCCTGTTAGCACAACAAAACTAAAGGAGAGTGAGCTTGAATCTATCCTGTCTCATGCATAACCAGCAGGATAAACTCACTTGTAATTTCAGGATCAAATCCTTCCTGAAGACTATAGGGTTGCACTGCTGTGGCTGAGGTTATAATCTGAAAACAATGGGATTGCAGAGATGGAATTGCAAAGTTACAATCTGACCTGCACAATTTTTATTACTGGTGATTCCACATGGGCGTAGGTGCTGGAATAGGGGTGCTGCCACAAAAGTGGTTTCCATTATATCCTGGGCTTACAGTTTGGTTCAATGGCTCTCAGTACCCCCACTATAAAAATTGTTTCAGCACCTCTGAACATGGAGAGTGCTTTTCTTCCTTTCTCGGCATGCGCCAAGTGGTATCAGGGCTGGCTTGTGCGTCTGGCTTGCCAGACAGGGGTAGGACCTAGTAACCCTCCTTTTTTCCCTACATATCACAACCCTTCAGCTTATGGTGCATTTCCTATTGTTTTCTTGTGTACCACACTGTCTGCCAAACTGCTCCACTTGCACATAGGGGTGCCTGCATGGGGCTTTTTTATCTGGCTGCATCCTCTTTGTCCCCTGTGCATCACCAGAATTCAGACCTAGACATACAGGGCCAGTTCTCGCCTTGTCTTTGCTTGCACAACTGCAGTGGGAGTTGGGGGTTCTCAGCACCTCTGAAAATTGGGCCACCTTTACTTAGGTGATTAAATATAACCTTAGGAGCCTAACTGTAGGCACCCAATGTTGCAATGTCAGGACCAGCTTTCCCAAAGACACGTAGACATGTAGCAGGAAGCCCCTCGGTTTGATTTGTGCCCTGCTGTGGTATAATTGTGATAGTGACATTTTAATCAGCACAAAGTCAGCTGATGGATTGTTTCACGTATCCCTAATGTTCTCCACAAACGAGGAGCAAAGTAAACAGTAGCCAACTAAAAAGTGTGTCAGGAAATAGAGTGTTACCTATTTACTGAGCAGATATAATTAAGCGGATACCAAAGTTTGACAGGGGAGAGGCTATGAAAGCCAAGGTGACTTTGCCAGAGTTAGGATTCCCCATTGCACTCTGGGTGTGCTTGGCTCTCATTTATGGTGGTAGGGCTTTGCCCTTGTGTGTTCCCCTGGTGAAAGAGAGAATCTTAAGCCTCACTGGCAAAACTCAGCTGTTGCAGCATCTCATAATTCATTCAGCACTCTGCCCATGAGCTCCTGGGGGCCTTCTTTGGCTGCATGGCTTTCCCTTCCCCCTTTGCCAGTCTTTGCTTTTCTCCTCTGTTTCCCTTCCTGATTGTAACTGATGCTGAGCGTTGATAATGATGGTGGCAAAACTTCCTTACCTTACCTCTCTCACACCTGCGTTCCCCTTTCCCACAAATAAGGTACCAAGTTTGTCACTTTATAACAACTGCAGAGGTTCCAGACTACCAGCAGCCACTTGCTGTTGTCTGAGAACAGAGTGGGATAGTACAGGCAAGGGAAATATGAACATGCTCACCTTTTACTCACAGAAATGACTGCACTGAAAAAACGCACAACCAGGATCTTTGTATGACTAGTGGTCACTCAAACAGCAGATGGCAAATATTGTTCCTGTCTAGTCTAGCAAGAAATAACACCAAGAAATCTAATAAAATGAAGCTGGCTGAAATCAGGTAGAGAAGAACAGTTGTTTGATAAAATTTTCCTATGACAATTTTTTTCTTTCAAGAAGTGAAATAATTCATTCTAAGACTGGAATCCATAAATAACTGCTGGTTAAAAAATTATTTCCCATGTTCAGTTAGCAATGTACTTATCCATTTATGATACATTTGTCTGTGCTACCGTTAAGCCTCTGGAGGCCATTGGTCCAATTCTGCTTTCCTTATTTCTGACAGTTCCTACTGACCATTTTGAACTGGACTCCTCAGTGGCTACACAGGCCACATGATCCTACTGTGGCCTCATCTCTTCTTGAGCTCTCAATTATATTCTCTCTAGTAACCTGCTGGTTCTGCAATTCCCATCTGCTCTGCACCCCACTCGGTCAGAGAATTCCTACCTCTCCCCAGTTAGCTGCTTGGATGCAGGGGTTAGTGGAGATGAAGGGGAGATTGATGATAGAGACAGAGCTGGTTGGAGGACTTTCACATAAGGGCCTCACAAAAGCTTCAGGTAGCCACGAGCTAGGTCCCATTTGCACGAATTATTAATAAACCAAGTAGTGGGCATAGGGGTGACTAGATAGCAAGTGTGAAAAATCGGGACTGGGGTGGGAGGCAATAGGTGCCTAAAAAGACAAAACCCTGAATATTGGGACTGTCCCTATAAAATCAGGACATCTGGTCACCCTAAGTGGACAGTATATGGGCCCAATTCAGCCTCCAATGAAGACAATGAGATTTTGCCATTAATTTGAATGGAAGTGGGTCCTGTGTTCCTAAAATGTTCATGGTTTTTGGTTTTTTCCTTATGCTTGTTGAGATTCATTCTCTTACATTAAGTGATACATGTTGTTTCTTCTACACACAGGTTGTAATCCTTGGTAAACATTCCAGAGGTTATCACTACATGCTAGCTAACCTGGTAAGAACTTTTTCATCAGCAGAAGTATAACTAAGTTTTAGAGGGTAATATATTCTATTTAGGTTGTGTCAGCTTTAATCAGCTAAGAAGGTAATGCATGAAGGAGTGCCTGGATTTTGAGAAATGACTTCAGTAAATACTAGAACTGGTATGTAATAGTAATTTCTACTCAATTACACAGTCTTTGTTTTGTCTAAGAAGTTCATATCCTTTACTAATTTAAAAATAACAATTCAATTATATGTTCTCCACTAATTTATATCTCTTAAATAACTCACTAGATAATACTAATCTTCTGTATAACAGATTTTAAATTTAAACACTATAAAAATAATTACATTTTATTTGTACATAATACAAGTGATATAAAGAACCAAATTAAAATTTGTAATTCCATCTAGTAAAGTAGCCAGGCTATTTAACAACTTATTGGCTTTATATAGGTAGAACCTCATTGCAGAGTTAGTACTTTATACATATTCATTGACCAGGCAGAGGACGGTATATTTTTATCCATATTAAAAATCCACTTCTCCATACTCTATAACTGACTTTTCAGATATTTCTTTGATATTTTTGAAAAGCCATCAGCTAGACATGCTGTAGAAAAGGGTTATAATGTAGTTGATCCTGCAGAAAGAGTCATTTTTAGCTTCTTTGTGTGGAAAATGTTCTTCTAAAGTCATATCACACTTTCTAGTTAGTAATCCTACTTTGTAGAAGAGTCTTTATAATGATTTTTTCTGTGTATGAGTAAAGCAGGTTAGATGAATTTTAAAATGCCATTTTCATTATAAATACTGTGCGGCTTTAAAATGTGTCATTGTGCATTATGGAACTGATCCTATTCACACTGACTACAGTGTACATTGCATAAACCAAAAAACAGTGGGCTTAAATTGCTACTACCTTGTGCCACGCATAGCCATTTACACTTCTGCAAGGTGACTGCAAACTGCTACCCAATCAACTTGCTTTCTATATCCACTTTGCGCAGGAGTAAATGACAATATGAGGCATAGGGCAGTGGAGAATCAGGCCCACAAGGCTTGAAAGTGAAACATTAAGGTAAATATTGTGATAATTAACACTGCACTGTCTGGTGTGAGGATCATGCTTTGCCACAACACAGCAGTGAGAACAACAAGGGGCATCAAGGAGCCTCTGAGTCACAGAGCTTCTTGGCACTCTCTCGTAAAAAAGGGGGACTGTTAAGCATTTCCTGCTCTGCTGGCTGGTGCAAAGGAGGTATTGGAGCCAGGCCCCAACTTTCTCCACCTCTTTTGGTGTGGTTTGCACCTTAAGGGTGTTAATAGTGGCTGACTCTTCAGCAGAAGCATCAAGGAGGCTCCTTGCACCCCATCTCCCCTTTACCCCCAACCTTTAACACATGCACAAGGTGCAAGAATCAGCTATAGCAACCTGCATGGAACTTGGAGGGAGGAGTACAGGTTGCAGAAGGAAAGAGTTTGGAAGAGGCACTGAGAAGCTATTGGGAATGCACGTAGCTAGAATGCTACCTGCAGATGCAGCATCTCTGTAAATAGTTCTCTTAAGGAAGAGGTAGTTTAGTTTTACGATCATGGAATCCTTTCACATTATTATCCAGCATGCAGTATATGAAATACCAGTTATCATCTGACGCTACATATTTTAACAAAAGAGTCTGAGTAATTCATTAATCCATATACCAATCAGTCCTCTTCTTCTGAGCTTTATGTGTAATATTGTGTACCCTTTTTGATGTGTTTTGGATCACATGGAAACTTTGCCACACTGGAACAAGCCAGTGTTCCATCACAAAGGTCTGGAATCCATGTGTTTCCAAATTCCATTTTATTCCAGTACTACAATCTACTGCTGCAAGAGATTGTCCCCTAGACAGGGTATCTTCTGCTAGCGGCAGGGAACTTTCATCAGTTTCTTTTGTGCTAAACTAGCCAAAGATTAAAAAATAGCATCTTATCAGAATGTTTGTCTTTAAAACTGAGCCAAGTTGCAGACACTTCGTATGACACTGATTCTTGTTTTCTGCACATATTCTTCCAGGGTTTTACAGATATTATGCTGGAGAGAGTAATGCATGGAGGCGCCAATGTTACTGGATTTCAGATTGTTAACAATGAAAACCCAATGGTTCAACAGTTTCTACAACGCTGGATTAGACTGGATGAAAGGGAATTCCCTGAAGCCAAGAACTCTCCATTAAAGGTAAAATTTTGTTGACAGTGATGGAAGCCTTTTGCATTGTGTTCAGCAAAAATCAGATTCATTTTTAAATATATACGTGTATGGATTTTCTCTGCTCAGAATGAGTCAGAACACTCACTGCCAGACAAAAAGAGAGAGATTGTTAGCTGGAAACATGAAATAAACACATAATGGTGGACTCTGAGGCAAAGAGCCCCATCCTGCAGTCATTCCACATGTAACACTGCCACTGACCTCTGTTAGAGAGGACTGAAAAATATCCCTTTATTGTATGGAAGTATAGATTTGGGTCCAAACTACGTAGCACTGGGCAATTCCAGCTGCAGAATGATGTAGAATTGGACTCACGATGGGGCCACCATGAACCCCTCCCAATATTCCCATTAGGGAATGGAGCCCCAATAACTCCATACAGCCAATTGCCCTTATAAGGAAATACACTGTTATGCATGCTAGGCTATTAGATGTCTACGAACCATTCTCTTTGTATGTTTTTACCTGCTGTGTTGAGGCACATAATATAAACATGAACATGATTGTACATAAATATATCTATGCACAGGCTGAGGTGGGTAGGAGCCTGTTTTTACATTGTCTACACACTTATCTTCAATTATGTCTCACCCAGTGAGAGGTGTTTCTCCTCAGGAACGAACATTTGCAATGAGCATTTGCCATGTCTTTTTTATTTTCCTTTCTTTATGTAAAGGACTGTTTAACGTCCCGTCTTTACTGATGGTTGACTCCTCAAGCAAGCGCACAACTTGTGTGATGCTGTTAACTTGACGCCATTTGTGTTTAAGATGCCTTAGTTGTTGCTATTGCTCTACTGTGGAATCTCATACACAAGTGATCTTAATAGCTGCCCAGGTATCTTCTACAACAAAATCCTTCTTCATGGTTGTCAGAAGAACTCAATAACACCATTTCTTCCAATTCTTCACTGTGCAGCTAATGTTTGTCTTGGCAAAGTATCTACAAACAACAGTCAGTAAAGAACCACGTGCCACGAACTGACAGTGCTGTCACAGATCAGAGAGTTCTTACAGATGCAATGCAGGCTACCCACTGAACGCATGGTTATTTAGCACCTAGTCAAACCAGCAGCAGTGCAAGTAGAATCCATTTCTTACCCGTACCGGGGGCCACCAGCTAAGGGGGGGCACATGACTTCCTCATATCGCCCTCCATGTGACTCCTCGCCCGCAGCCTGGGGCCCCCACGCTCTCCCCATCCCCGCCCCATGAGCCATCCCACATTACCTGAGGGGGGGCTCTGTCCTCCTCCTGCTGCGCCAGAGACTTCGGAACCACAGCGGGGAAAGGAGCAGAACGTGGTCAGTCCCACCCCAGCAGCTCCTCAAGCATGGCTCCACCATTCCCAGCCCCGCCCCCGGCCCTTCCACACAGCTGCGCCTCCTCTGCCGGAGGACAGGGCTGGGAGGGATGGGGTTGGGGGCGGTACAGCTGCCCGAGGGGCTGCCAGCTCCTCCTGTGTCTTCACGGTACGCCGTACCGGCTATAAATATCTTGCTGGTACGGCGTACCAGACTGTACCGCCGTACTTGCACTGCTGCATATCAGTTGATTTTGGGATACAAAGCCAGTCAAAACCAAAGGTAGACTTCCAGCTGAGCTCTGCATTGTTAGTGAGCATAAAAGGTACAGGAGACGCAGCTTGGTATTGCACGTGTCTGGATAAGCGGGGTGTCTTCAGTTTAACAACTTGTGTCCATAGCTAGATGGCTGATATTGCACCCTGTTGAATAAGGTCTAGTAGAGCATGAGGGGTAGTAAAAAGCATTATAGTTCCTCTAAGGTATATTTGCTACTGGGTTGTTGACTACCCAGTGCCACTTGGATGTGAAGTGCAATCTGCTTCATGATGACTTGGAACCATAGCCATGGTAGTTTGGGCTGTCAAAGAATCAGAATGATTCCCCCTTTACCACAGACCTGCTGGGGCACATTACGGTTTTCACCCTTTTTACCGATGTATCAGGAAACCTCCATCCACTATTTCCCCCCCTAAACATGTACGGCAGTTCTGGACATGTTACCGATTGATCCCCTTCGTTCTCCATGTTACCATGTCCCTTCAGCAGGCCTGGCAGAGTTGTCTAGGTGAGGTAAGCTGGAGAAAGCCCCACACAGACTCCTGGGGGGTTCCAGGACATAGCTATACAGTATGTCTTACATGTGCTAAAATTCACCCTCATCTATGGACTAAAAAGGGTATTGCTAGTAACAGAATCACAACCTGTTAATACCCCTCCCTGATTTTCTCTGTCTCTTCGTTTTCTTCCCCATCTGTAAAATGGAGGTATAAAATACTAACCTTATAGGAGGGATGCTAAACCTGTCTACCAGCCATCTCATAGCTGAAGCTGTTCTTCTGTCTTCTCCTTAATTTTTACAAGGAAAGAAATTTCTTATTCCTTTACTGCATTTTATATTAATGAAATGGACACTTCTTCCCTAAGAAACCTAATGATCTCTGCTGTTTTACCAGTTCCATCTAACCATTTCATTCCAAGCTGACACCAAACTACTCGAAGATACACCCCAACGACAGGATTTCGCCTATCATGAAGGGCCCCTGCATGCCTCTATCTGACACAGACACACTACCACTGAAGAGTCCATGGGGGGTAGCTAGCCAGTGTCCCATAAAACAGGGCTAACCCTGATGTCCCCTATTAATTACAGAGCCAGGAGCACCTGTCACTTTAGAGGAGCTTACTGGAAGATACAGGAGTAAAGGGAAGTATCATACTTGTCTTAAAGCTCAGAAATATATGATGTTACCCTAGGCATATTTTAATCCAGTCAAAAGCAATTTACATTGGGGAAAAAGTTATTCTCTATCCTTTAAAAATAATCTTAGATGGTAAAACACAGAGATTGCATTACCTTTGTACAAATGTACTGCTCATTATAGAAACTTACACAGTATTCATCAATCAGTCAAAAAGCATACTTAAAAAATGGATGTACAATATTTTTGATTAGAGAATAAAATTACCTAGAGATTAAAGCCCTGATGTTTAATTTATTCTGTATTTTATCAGCCTTTCCCTTCTCTCCCTCTCTGTCTTTTCTTTTTCTTTGCCTGCTCATGCATTTGTAAGTAGAATTCGAATAAAGCAGAAAATTAGATAGCTCTTTTGGCATAACTTGGAAGGGACTGCATTTGGGTTACCGGCAATTGATCCAGTCTACTGAAAAAAATTATCGCCATGCAGGCTTTATGTAGTGTTAGATTGGAAAGCTATTACAAGATTTTTTTCATGCAAGAATAAATATCATTTTAAAATATCTGAATTCTGTGTTGTTATGTGGAAAGTGTCGTGTAATATTTGTTAATGTATGAGAGAGAGAGAGAGCACTGCAATGCCAGAACCACAGGAAAAAAAGGTAAGGTAGACAAGGATTGAAATAAGCAGCTGCATCCAGCTAATCACAGCTGTAAAGATGATCTCACCATGAAAAGGGCAAGGCAGTCAAGTGTTTATAAACAGGACCATAATTTAAAACTTGGGAAGAATGGCTGGCACAAAAAAACTTTTCCCTGACACTAGTTGTGCTTTTTTTTTTTTTAATCAGGTGTGTTTCTCTGGATCTGCAGGCATAAACGCACACACCCCTTGCAGTTTTGTAAACGTTACCATATGTTTTACATGGTTATTATCAAAATGGGCAGCCCCCCACCATAAGAGCAAAAACATTTTTCAATGTAGTGGCCACCTGGGGTTTTATTCTCCCCTACAGGATAGAAGTAACTACCATTGAAGTCAATAGGATTTACTCATGTCCTGTAGGAGAGCAGCTAAAAATGCTATTGAAATCCAAGATTCCATCCTTCCAACTAGTGCATGGGTAGTGTTTGTTTGTTTTCACACCTATGTAAGTCAAATGGGATGCAAGGGGGTCTAAATGATCACGCCGTAAGTAAGGTTTGCTAAGTACCAGGAGACAGGTGAGCATTCCGGAATGTGCATACATGCACTAGATTCTTTTTGGAAGTCAAATATTTCTCACTCATTTACATACAAATACTCTTGAGATAGGATGGGATCTAATGATGCAGCAGCGTCAAAATGAGGTCCTACAGATGTTTGCAAGATTCGATTTTTCAAGATTACAGTGGAACTCTATATACAGCATTTAAATGTAATGCTGATCCTGTGCACACAAGGTAGTCTAAATCCTATGCTCATCAGGAGTGCTTAGCCAGAAATTAATAGCTCGGTGTCCAGAGGTTGGGCCAGTCTCTAGCGAAGTACAGTTTTCATATGAATCAATGGATATGAAAAAATACAGACACGTCTCGTAAAGACATTTGTTGCTTATGAATTGGGCATGATATCAGATTTATAACCTAAGTAATGATTGTAGTTTTGTACAATATAAGGAAGTAGTGAGGGTGAGGTTGTTTTGGGGCTGGGTTTTTTGGTAAGGAAAGTAAACCAATTTGTGGCTGGTCATGGATCCTAGCTAATCAGAAACATGGGCCAGACAGAAACAATTAATGTTAATTTTAAATTACTCCTAGCTCTTTGAGTTGGTTAGCTCATTTTAAAAAAAAATCCAAGCAAAACTCAAATATGAGTTGTAAGTTGCAGCTGGTTACGACATGGCCTAGCATTGCATTATAGGTCTTCTTCATCAACCTGCTTTAGATAGGCAGCTCTCCAATTAAATCTAGTCAGTACGTTACAGAACTATAAACTATTTTTCTATATACTGTAGAAAATCATAACATTTTAAATTTCTTACTTGAAATATATGTAATTGTTAAATAACATGTGACATATGGGGGGGGGGGCGGTGAAATTGTTGCTGCTCTAAAAACATTTTAATGGGGGAGAAATAATTGACCTTTATAAACCTGAGGCAATTTCCAGAGTGCAGTTTGTCACAATTATTTTATTTGCATCAATTTTAGTATACTTCTGCCCTGACCCATGATGCAATACTAGTCATAGCAGAGGCTTTCCGCTACCTCCGAAGACAGCGTGTTGATGTTTCCAGGAGAGGTAGTGCTGGAGACTGCCTAGCAAACCCTGCAGTGCCCTGGAGCCAAGGAATCGATATAGAAAGAGCACTGAAAATGGTAAGGGCAAACGTACCTAACCTATTGAACAGGAGTATCGCATTTTTACAACATATGTCTTTAAAACAACAACAAAGGCTGAGTATCTCCTGAGCACCATTTTTCAAGGGCACAATGAAGGAAGCAACTTTCAAAAGCTACCTGTAAATCTGCATGGGCAGCTTTGCAACAAATGCACTTGTAAGGACTCTGTCCATGCCCAATGGAGCAGAACTCACATCCTTCTACTCCATAAGCACAAGGCCTTGGTGCTGAAGCTAACAATTACTATCCTGTACCTAGGCCAGTAAATAGGGTAATGACAAACACGAGAGTGGTCCGACATCCCATCCAATTAAGGGCCATGGTGACATATTCAGTGTGTTACACACGTGCCCTCTTCCCCAGGGCCAAAAATTTGTCTTCTAGAATTCAGTGTTCATAGGGATTAAAACGCGACAACTGGGCATCAACTGTAATAGCTAGCCAATGTGACACAGTGTCCACTGTACTGTATACTAGCATCTCTGCAAATGGTGGTGTTAAAAGCTTTGCGAACATATTCTGAGGCTAGGATATAGGCTGACCTATTTTGAGGTCAAAAATGTGGCCCAAAATAAAACAGAACTGGGTGAACAGTTTATCCTCAGGCGGTGTATTGTAAACCACATATATAGTATGAGCATATGTACCTGTGTATGTTTATCTATATATCACACCAGTCAAAAACCAGCTTCTGTTTTTTTTCTAAAAGTTGCACAAACAGTATGATCGACTATGTTAACAGATTGCAGGATTTCTGCATCAGCCTGAACCTTAGCCCTGCATTTTGCCTCACACCTGCTCTCTGAACCCTAACATAACCCTATTTCCAACTTGATTACTGCCTGTTTGGCCAGTCCATAGTGCTAACCATTAGTTATTGCATCAGATCTAGTATTGATCAAATCCCTGTGGTTTTGTTTGTCTTTCTTTCCCTTTTGTATTGAACTGATTTGGGGGCATAGAAGTGAATGAAAACCTACCAGATACATAGGATCTGATTTTGCTCAGACTTGGACCAGTAGAAATCAGGAATAACTGCACTGGTTTCAATGAAGTTACACTGATGTAAGACTGAAGTGAGTAAGATTGGAATTAAGGCCGCATGATATAAAAAGGACCCCTAGATTAATCTTCATTCACTTGGCTTAATTATTGCTTTTTCAAATTTGCCAAATTGGAAGCATCAGATCAAAAGGGTAATTCCCTCTCTCATAGAATGAGAGACATGGTTCAGTCTCTCCCTGTCAGAACACTTCTTATATCACTGAGTCAGTTCCCTAACAAATGCCCTAACTGTAGGTTCATTAATGTAGCATTACACACTTTTGAAGATAAGTTAATTAATTTCAACCTTCATAACAGTTAAAAGATTTGTAGTGTCAGTTAGAACTTAATTAGAAGTGATACCTAAACCCTTCAAAAGAGATCCCAAAGTGCTTATATCCACAGGGCTCGAATGGGAACACAAACAGTGCAACAAGACACACCCTGCTTGAGAGAGATAAAAATATCAAAATGTTGGTTGGTAAAAGGCTGCCACTTTAATAAAAGATTCATAAGATACAGAGCCAATTTCATGATTGAGGCAGGCACAGGATATTGAATTACATCAGGGTGATTTCAGCCCATTATATTTAAACATTCTAACATAAGTTGAAGAGGTTTATCCGTCTATCTCAACAGCCCCACTCAGTACCCACTCAGTGCAAGATCATCACACATCCCTGATTCCTACCAGAACCCACACCGTGAAATATGTTCTTTTTCCTGTTTAGATGGTGATCTTGTACCTTTGCTTCAGGAAGTTATGACTTCCAATTAATAATATTTTCTACCTACATCAGCCATGGAACACCTGAAAAAAAAAAAAGAATATTCAGTACAAGAAATCGGCAAACAACCAATCCAAGCGTCCTACAAATAACTGATCTAAGCATCAGACTCAATGTCAAACTGCAGTCACCTTGCCAACAAAAGGCAGATTGGTATTACCTGATTCTACATCCTTATATCTTTGAAAAACTATTCAAGTCTGTATTTCCTCCCCTGAATTTGAACCTAAAGTGTCTGATAAGTGGACAACAACTGACCTGAACATTAAAGGAACTGGCACATGAAATTGCAAGCCCAACAGCAAGGATTTCTAATGAATCCGTAAACTTGGAGTTCATACCCTATGACTGGAGAATTGCTCATAGAGTACCTATTTTTAAGAAAGGGTTGGGGGGGGGGAAGTGATCTGGGAAACTACAGGCCCAATAGTTTGACCTCAATTGTATGCAAGGTCTTGGAACAAATTTTGAAAGAGAAAGTGGTTAAGGCATAGAGGTAAAAGGTAATTGGGAGAAAATACAACATGGTTTTATAAAATGCAGATCGTGCCAGACCAACTGGATCTCTTTCTTTGTGAAGATAACTGATTTTTTAGACAAAGTGCAGTAGATCTAATCTATCTGGAGGATTCTCTGCTCCTTGAGGTCTTCAAACTACAATTTGGGGACTTCAATAGCACAGATATAGATGTGAGGTCTTTTTTAGGAGTGGTGGGTGAAATTCTGTGGCCTGCGTTGTGCAGGAGGTCAGACTAGATGATCATGATGGTCCCTTCTGGCCTAAATATCTGTGAATCTGTGAATCTGGATTTCAATAAAGCACAGTTCCACATGAGAAATTATTAGTTAAATTGTAGAAGATGGGGATTAAGATGAGAAGTGAAGGGTGGATAAGAAACTGGTTAAAGGGGAGACTACAATGGGTCATATTAAAAAGTGAAATGTCAGGCTGGAGGGAGGTTACTCGTGGAGTTCCTCAGGGACTGGTCTTGGTACCAATCTTATTTAACATTCAAAAAGTGGGAGTGTGCTAAAAAAATTTGCAGATGACACAAAGTTGGATGGTATTGCCAATACAGAGGAGGACCGGAATATCATAGAATATCTGAATAACCTTGAAAACTGCAGTAATAGAAATGGGATGAAATTGAATAGTGCAAAATGCACATCAGTTGGAAGCAACAGACGAGGAGAAAGACCTGGATGTTTTAATCACAGGATGACTATGAGCTGCCAATGTGATGCAGCCATAAAAAGGCTAATGCAATCCTAGAATGCATCAGGCAAGGTGTATCCAGTAGAAATAAGGAAGTGTTATTGCCATTATACAAGGTCCTGGTGAGACCTCATCTGGAATACTGTGTGCAATTCTGATCTCTCATGTTTAAGACAGATGAATTCAGACTGGGACAGATGCAAAGAAGGGCTAATAGGATGATCGGAGGAATGGAAAACCTACCGTACGAGAGGAGACTCAAGGAGCTTAGCTTGTTTAGCCTAAGCAAACAAAGGCTGAGAGGAGATATGATTGCTTTATATAAATACATAAGAGGGACAAATACCAGAGAGGGAGAGCAGTTAAGTGCCAATATGGACACAAGAACAAATGGCTATAAACTGGCCATCAACAAGTTTAGGCTTCAAATTAAATAAAGCTTTCCAACCATCAGAGGAGTGAAGTTCTGGAACAGCCTCCCAAGGAGAGCAGTGGGGGCAAAAAACCCTAACTGGTTTCAAGACTGAGCTTGATGAATTTATGGAGTAGGTGATATGAAGACACTGCGTATGATAATGTTTGGCCCATCTGCAACTGCTAGTAGCAAAAGTCCCCAGTGGCTGGAGATGGAACACTAGATGGGGAGGGCTCTGAGTTAGTACAGAGAATTCTTTCCCAGGGGTCTGGCTGGTGGGTCTTGCCAACAAGCTCAGGGTTCAACCAATCACAGTATTTGGGGTTGGGAAGGAATGGCCCGCCACGTCAAATTGGCAGAGACGCTGGGGGGTTTTCACCTTCCTCTGCAGCATGGGGCATGGGTCTTTTGTTGGTATAAACTAGAATAAATAGTGGATTCTCTGTAACTGTAAGTCTTTAAATCATGAATTCAGTAACTCAGCCGGACGTTACAGGTCTATTACAGGAGAGGTGAGGTTCTGCTGCCTGCGATGTGCAGGAGGTCAAACTAGATGACCTCAATAGTCCCATCCGGCCTTAAAGTTTAGGTGTTATAAATAATCACTTCATTTGTGATTGCCTCCACATTCCTCTGATCACAGAAGCACCCAGCTTTCTTGTTTCTCTTTCTCCTACCTGTAACAAGGCCTGATCCTGCAAAGTGCTGGGCACCCTCCATTCCCATATAAGTAAAAAAACCAACAAACAAAATCTGAAGTTAGTGGGGATCAAGTGCACAGTAGCTACTCTGATTACCTTCCCTCCAGACATATTGTTCTACAAACACAGACCATAGCTTCTTGCTACTGAGAAAGTGACACCAGAGCCTATTTAATCCTTATGGATTAGATGTATCCTCAGCAGATGGATTATCAACATTTTGAGCAAACATAAACCTTAATGTTTTGCTAAACTTGAAATGGATTTACTCTGGCCCTGATTCAGGAAAGAACATAGAACACTGAGAATGGCCATACTGGGTCGGACCAATGGCCCATCTAGCCGAGTTTATGGTCTTCTGACAGTGGCCAGTACCAGATACTTTAGAAGGAATGAACAGAACAGGGTAGTTATTGCGTAATCCATCCTCTGTCATTCAGTCCCATCTTCTGGTAGTGAGAGGTTTAAGGTCACCCAAAGCATGGGATTGCGTTCCCTGACTATCTTGGCTAATAGCCATTGATTGACTTATCCTCCATGACTTTAAGCACATGACATTAACTTTAAGCACATGCTTAAGTCCCATTTAAACCAATGGAATTAGCATATGCCTGAAGTTAAACTCATGCTGAATAGGCCTGGATGGGTGAATCAGGGCTTCTATGGTTTCTATGTTTGCAATAAAAGTTCAATAAAGTTTGGAATCATAATGAGTTGAGCTGAACCTAAGAAAGTCAAGGATCTTCTTCCAGTCCAATCAAATTACTCTAACATTGACTCACATCCACTACAGACACATAATTTACACTCTTTATACATCACCTCTGAATTTGGCCCACCGAATAAATCTGGGGCAAAGGGATTTTACTGTATTATGTGATCCATCCCTGTGCATCATGACAAGATCGATTGCATCATCTCAAAACCATCCTTGGCAGATCAGTGACCAGCTTTGAACATCTCGAGTGACTATGATTCCACAGCCTCCTTAGCAGATTGTTCTATCACCCAACTCTTATTACCGCTATAAAATTTTTCTAAAATTTAACATAAATTATCCCTACTGAAGTTTATGACAGTTACCTCTACTGTCTTAGCTTGTCAGGATTGATAAGTGATGAATTGAAGTATCTCCTCCTTTAATACTAGGGGAACAAGAAAGATTTTTTTTTCCTTTGAAACAAAGTACTTCATACTTCCTTCAAAATTATTACTGTGAGTAAGTAATGGTAACGACTTACATTTATATAACATCATCCATCTAGACAAAGCTCAATCTCTTTACAAGGTATAGACATAATTCTGCCACTCTTCCTCTAATGAGGCTGGAGTCTGATACCTTCAATCATATTGACTTCATCAGGTCTAAATTGTGGAATAAGGTGCTACTCCGTGTAAGAATATCAGGATCTGGCCCTGCAGTATGTATCACTTGCACCCTAATTGTGAGGGTTTATGTGGCACTTCAGTGGTATATGCACCCTGTGTTGGCCCATTGAAAAGGAGTGAATTTCACCAAGTGTGAATAAACATGGCAGAATTGGACCTTGTATATAATATATATGCAGGATTCACTCAGCACTGAAATACAGCCTTCCTTCCAATGGAAGGTGGCAGCTCTGCATCAGCTTATAGGCAGTGAAGAATAATAATGTTTACAGCTGAAACTGGGAGAGCTGGGGAATTTTAGGTAGACAGAATGTAAATGTCCCTATTGGACGCTGGACAGGGCACAGGTATTAATGGAAATGCTCACAGAGATAGTAAATTCCTTCAGGACATAAAAGAGGGGGGAAAATAGAAATAATGTTCTATGTAACTGTTTTACTATTTCCCTGTTTAAGGTACAAGTCCAAGGAATGACTGGAAATATCCAGTTTGACACCTATGGACGCAGAACAAATTACACAATTGATGTGTATGAAACGAAAGCTACTGGATCACGGAAGGTAAGTTCTCAAAATATAGTCTCCTTGGGCTTCTTAAAAAATATGTATCACCGCAAAGTCATGAAAACAAGCAATGTCATACAACTGTTGTGAAGACATAAAACCTGATAAATCCCCCTCCTACTACATTTATCTCTCCTCTTCCCTAATTCTTTAGTTATGAAATTTTATAGGAATGTAGTTCCATTCTGCCCTTGTTATTCTGAACCTCCCCCCCGGCCTTTGAATCCCTTCACTCCTTGAATACCTTCCTACAGCAAATGCCTTGGCTTCACATCTGAAGTACCTACCCTGCCACATCTCAACTCTGATTTCCTCCTACAATGGTGTCCTGAGACCCTTTGCCCAGTCCTCTCTCCTAAATTCCTTTTCATCTCCTCCTTCCTCTCCATTATAGGCCTCAGAGCAATAAAGAATTTGGAACACATATATTTTAAAAACCTCTTAAAAACAGTGTAAAACAGCATTTGGTTTTTAATCGGGATGTTCAAAGGACGATTATCTCATGTCCTAAGATAAAATATTCAGAAGTGCCTAAGTGAATTAGTAGCCTATGTCCCATTTTCAAAAGTGTCTGGGGGCCAGATTTACAAAAATATTTAGGTGCCCAAAGATGCAAATAGGTGCCTAGTGGAATTTTCAAAAGGGCCTAAGCAGGTTAAGTGCCTAAATCCCATTGATTTCAATTAGAATTAGGCACCTAACATTAAAAATTCCAGTAGGAGCCTATTCGCATCTTCAGGCACCTACATACCTTTGAAAATCTGACTCTGATGCACTTAAAGCCTTGAATCTCATTGCAAGTCAATGGGGCTTATGCACCTAAATCATTTAGGCACTTTTGAAAATTGTACCCTTACTCTAGAAATGGATGCTTCTGTATAACAAGAATCCCAGCTCCTCAGCCTGTGTATGTAACCCTAGAGCTACATGACATCAGGTCTTGAACCTTGTCACTGAACCAAAACTAAATATTGCCCCTCCAGGACATAGGAGCTGTGTTATTTTTATCCCCTGCCTTTACCTGACCTACACTTGTAGCAGCTTATATTTTTGTTTTGTTTTGTTTGAAAAGGGTGGGTTTACTTTAAATAGTAGCTATTTGCAGTGGGTTAGAGATTTAGTGTGCCAGAAATAGACCAGGTTGAGACTGATTAAGTGCAGAGTTCAAGTGAGACAGTTAAGGCTGCAAATAAAAACTAGTTCATTCAAAATTCTGCAATTATTTTCTTGTCCTATATTGTATTCCCTGGTTGCAGAAATGCAGGAATTATTCCATGGGTATTCTGATAAGCTATATTATGTAAGGAACCATACATTACTTTCACATAGTTTTTGCCTATCTATTTCCATGCTACACCCTCAGCGATGGCACTATGTAAAAATTCAGCAAAAGGTTCCCACAGCCCAATGTTGGCAAGAAAGTGTCCCATGACCTTGCTAATAGCTGATGAGATACTTATGGGGTCCTAGAAAAACTTTTAGATCAATATTCATTTGTTTGTATCTTGAATAAATCTAAGTAAAAAATCACTTTTTAAAAATAAAAAGGGCAGCTCTATTTAAGCATCAGTTTTATGCACCAAAATCATTATAAAAATATGTAACTAGGTAACACTCTCTGCTTTTGTAGGCTGGTTACTGGAATGAATATGAAAGATTTGTGCCAGCATTAGACCAGCAAGTGTCTAATGACACTTCATCTGTGGAGAATAGAACAATAGTAGTCACTACCATCCTGGTAAGTTGCATGTTCTTAGTCAGTATGTGCTTGGGTGGTAAGACACGTGTATTGTGAGATTTATTGGAAGGCCCAGTGTTGAATGCTGTGTGACTTCAAGTGACTGAGAAGTTCAGCAACCTCCAGGGATGTACGGAGGGCTTGATCCTGCCAACACTTACACACATGAGTAAATTTACTCACGGGAGGAGTCCCACTTTCTCAACATTGTGCTTTCCTTCTTCTCAGTTACTTGAACTCAGTGGAACTCCTCACGTGAGTAAAGTTACTAATGTATATACGTGATTGCAGGATCTGGCCCTTACTGCTGTAGGACCAAATCTTGCAGCCTTCACTCAGGCACAGCTCCTGTTGATTGAGTAAGGATGGCACAATCTGGCCCACAGTGAATTGGAAATGCTTTGACAATATGTAAAGACATCCAATGCTTGTGGAGAATAATGCTCTTCTTGTATCTCATAGTCTGTGTTATCTGTGTCAGTTCTAAAGCCTATTGCTTATATGGTCTGTAATACAGAATTATTTGTGCCCTTGGTGCCTGTTACAATTGTCCTGAGCGTGAGTCAGTTTCATGACATTGCGAGAAGGATCGTATTTTACTTGACTATAATTTACTGAGACACACTCAGCCTTTCAGCTGGGATTTTCAAAGAAGTCTACGGGAGGTAGGTGATCTGCGGTGGAGCTGGGCACCTAAATGCCTCCGGCTTCTTTGAAAATCCTAGCATCATCATGATCCTGCACCATTTAAATAAGTGGGGATTTTGCCATTGACTTCAATGGGAGCAGGATCGGGTATATCACTGCTTTATAAGCTGTGTACTGCATTATTATAGTGTGCTTATCTTTGATCTACTGGAGATTCAGGCCTGATCCTGAAAAAGACTGTAACTTTATTCATGTGAGTAGTCCCATTGCCTTAGTGGGAATACCCCTGTGATTAAAGCAAATTGCATATTTGTTTGCAGGATCTGGCCACTGATGAATTTCAGGTGCGCTTCTAAGGATTTTAAACTAAACTATTCTGTCTTGCCAGGAAGCCTTTAATGTTTATGTGAAGCTGACTTGGAAATCTTTCCAATTATTATATAAGAGCAGCCCAGGAAATATTGTTGATATTTGCCAATAACATAAAATAATGCTAATAACAGCTCTCATTTTGCATAGTTTAAAGGCATGTGTTGTATTCATAGACTTTTGATCTTTGCTTTTGTTTCAAAGGAATCGCCCTATGTAATGTATAAGAAAAACCATGAACAACTAGAAGGGAATGAGAGATATGAAGGATATTGTGTAGACTTAGCTTATGAAATAGCAAAACATGTTGGAATAAAATACAAACTGTCAATTGTTGGAGATGGGAAATACGGAGCTAGGGACCCTGAGTCTAAGATATGGAATGGCATGGTGGGTGAACTAGTCTATGGGGTAAGTTTCCCTTAACGTTCATTTTAATGTTCTTTTTTTAAAAAAAAAATATGCACAACGTTAATAAACTGCAAAATAAAAAATCTCTGTTTAAAATTGTTTTACAATCTCTAGATATTTATTTTTAGTCTCATTTTGTAGTCTGTTTAAAAAAAAAAGTTTTTTGTTCCATCGCATGGAGAGTGGTTTTTTTCACTGCCACTCGCAACTAGATTATACACCAAACCATTACGCAATGGTATTTGGGGTGAACATATTTACTTTGCTTAAACACAGCGGAACATTTCTGCTCTTGTAGCTTTGACCTAAGCTAACAACCTGTACATGTTGATCTAGTGTGCACCTTGCTTTCTGCTTGCAGGCTGACAGTCATTTCTTCCTTCTCCCTGTAATCTTTGTGAACAGTAAGGGATGTATTGTGCCCTTCACAATGTGGGTGCATATGTTTGCAAGGAGAGGATACAAGGCTCTTCCATCCCTTCTTTGTGCATATGTAAGGCAGGAGCGTATCCTTCTCTCCTCTGAGCACTGGGACTGCACAAGGCTACCAGCAACACTGGTGCTGGCTCCCAGAAAAGAGTGCAGAGCTGGCTTTGCATGAGGAGACATTTGCCCTGTCCCCTTGTAAAAAGATGGGATAGAAGCTGTCATCCGGGCTGGAGGAACTCCATCTCCAAAGCTGCCAAGGGACCTGATCCTACTCTCATTCAAGTCAATGGCAAAATTCCCATTAACTTTCCTGGCCCTAAATGGCTGGTCCTGCAACATGGAAACCAATGGGAGTTTTGCCATTGACTTCAGGCCAAAAGATGCACTGATGTGTTATGCCTTTTCACCAGGGCATATTTCATGATACAGGCCTAATATCACCACATTTATGGAGTATTACAACCTCAACAAGGTCTATTTCTCCTAAACTCTGGATTTAGTTTTTAAATATCTGCTATCAGTGAATCAACTGCTGTCTAGTTAATTGTGTTGCTATTTTTCTGTTTGCATATCGTGTGTACATCACTTTGAGTAATAGGCACAAAAGACACAGGGTAACTGTTTTATTGTTGCTATATTTAAAAAACAATTAACAGAATTTAGAATGCTGAAGTAGTAACTCAGGCCTGCCCAGCCCATTAAACTTGTATGTATTTTAAACCTTAGAAAACAGTAATTTTATGGTCTGACTTTTTAGGGAGGAAGGAGTGGAGTCTAATAGGGACTAAGTGAAGTGGATGGGAAATCAGGACTCCAGGATCCTATCCTTGCCCTCCCACTGACTTGGCGTGTGACCTGAGCAAGTCACCAAACTTTATTGTGTCTCAGTTCTACCACCTATGAAACAGGAATAATAATATTACCTATCTCACAGGGTGAGGCTTTATAAGACACTTTGAGAGTTGCTAGCTCAGGGCATAGTATATTTACATTGCAGTGAAATCCTAAACTCGCAGTGTCTCTGTCCAGGTCAAGAAACTTCCCCAGTGTTATCTATAATTAGGTCATCTGCAACTGCCCTAGTCATGTAGGCATGTAGCAGCAAATAAAGCAGATATAGTCGCTTTAAAAATGCATACTATGCCCAAAAGAGAACCAAGTGACAAAGAGAAAAGTAAATTCCTAAAGGAGTAGTCGCAAGCTGGGATTGAGCTTGTTGGCAAGTGTGTTATAAGCAATGTCACTTCCTTTGGGACTTGATGCAGGTAAAATTAACCTCTGCAGCTGCTGGACCATGGAAGATGCCTCTGTATCAAGGGCTTGCAGCCGGGAAGACTAATACCAGTTCTGCAAGGTGCTCCCAAAGAGCAGGCCTTGGTGAGGAGAAAGTTTGCCCCCTTTTTCAAGCCAGCTTTTCTTTGAATAAGCTGGTTTGATGTAGAGCCCTCAGCCACATCCTTCTGGAACTAGTGCAACTCAGAAGGCTGTGCCAGTTGTATATTGCCGAGCCCCAGGTGCTTTACTTTTTTTCCCAGTGCAGTTGGGAAAATGAACAGCTATTCCTTATTCTTGTGCAGTTAGCGCTTAATTATTTGACTCGCATTTAACTGCAATGCTCAGTTGTCCAAAGGGCAGACATGTCCCCTGAGGTCTGACTGAAGATCCAGCCCAACAGAGTTGCCCAGTTCTGCTGGGCTGGTGCTGGAGTGGAACTGCAGGATCCAGCAGGCCTTAGGGAGACCACCTGGATCTCTGTAATCAGGGAAGGCAACTCTGCTATGTTGAAGTCAACACAGACTTCAAAGCCTCCCCCGATCATCTGCGGGCTTCGGGTGTCTTCCTGAAATGCTCTTATCCTTTCTCCATCTTCAGAAAGGGGGACAGCGACCTACAGCACTCTCAGAGGTGGGGATAATGAGCATGTGGAAAACACTTTGAAGATGAAAAATGCTCTGTAACCACTAATTATTAGGAACCGGTGTCTCATTTATGTGATGACTCTCATTTATCTCCCATGAGCTCAAAGCTCTATTATGAAACTGAAAGTAAAGGTGCACGTTTCCCCAGGTGCCACTGTGAGCCTTGGCTGTGAAAAGACTGTCACGTTTGCCTCCTCTGGATTCCATTTTGTGTAAATGAGGGGGGGATTAATTTTTAATTTAATACATGCCTTTATTAGCATGTATATAAGCCAGACAAGCAGGGATAAAAGAGGCTTGAGTTGGGGTTTTTTGGAGCAAGTTTATCCAGCAGTTGAACAGAGCTGCTGCTGAACGCACTATTTCAGATTGTATTTGTTTTAACAGCTAACTGCTGTGCAGTCACATGTCAAATAAGATGATACCATGTTATAGAATCACAGAAATGTAGGGCTGGACGGGACCTTGAGAGGTCATTTAGTCTAGTCCCCCATGCTGTGGCAGGATCAAGTAAACCTCGACCATCCCTGAGAGGTGTTTGTTTAACCTGTTCTTAAAAACCGCTGATGATGGAGATTCCACAACCTCCTAAAGTAACCAATTCCAGTGCTTAACTGTCCTCAGAGTTAGAAAGTTTTTCTGAATATCTGACCTAAATCTCCCTGTCTGCAGTTTAAATCAATTACTTCTTGCTGCTAATCTGACATGTTTGTTGGCATCGCTGGGAAGACAATATGCAAATCCTATTTAATATTGTCCCTTTTGTGTGCATTGCCTCCTGGTTTCCGACCTTTTTTACTGAAGCACTTAGGGCCACGACAGAGTCTGAAATTTCAATGCTAGAAATCTAATTAAAGTTAATTGATGTTTAGCTTCATTTTTGCCATGTCTTCGTTGCTGCCTCCCCCTTACTGCTTCCTACCTTCTTTGGGGGCAACCAGGCACTGTCAGGAGAGAAAAGGCAGAACAATCCCTGTGCTTCTACCTTCTGGCCCGTGTGCAGGGCAGATGGGTAGGGACGGGTTCCTTGTGTGTAGGTTCCAGGCAGATTCTTGAATGCAAAGCCATTTGCTTTCATCACATTTTTGTAACTAAAATTTGGATTTCTCATTTAGCTTCATTTTTGCACATTCTCCTTCAAACTAAGAGCAAGGTTCTGAGCTGTGCTGAATTTCTACTCAGTGCAGCCGAGAAAGAGCTGTCAGAGCGACCTAGATTCTGAGGGCAGAGCTGTATCTGCTCTAACCCAAGCATAGGTTAGCATAGCTGAGCGTCTGCTCTTATCTAAGCCATCTAGGAACAGCCCACAACAGACTATAGCCCATATGCCAGCTAGTGGTGGCCAGAGAACAACCTTCTCACTAGCACTGCTCCCTGCCCCATGACATATCCCCAACTTCAGGCCTGGGTGGGGGGCCTGGTGATGAAAGTTCTCCCAAGGTGGATGAAATTCTCCGCCAGCAGGATGTAGCTGCTTTCTTGTCCCTTTGCACCTCTAGAGTGGCGCAAAAAGGGGTGGGACACACTAGAGAATTGGTGGCTGCATGGGGATGATGGCAGTGGGGTGACTCCCCACTGAGAGGAGAGTTAAACTGCTCCCAATCTCTGAACCTGAGTCAATGTTTACATCTGACGAGCAGAGCACCCCACCATGGCAAGTGCTGTCCTCCAATGAGCCATCCACTAACAGCATCCCCTCTACTTCTGCTGATTAGCAGCACCTCCCACCTCCGACTCGAAGTCCTGCGCCCCAGTCAAATACACACCAGAGTCTCCACAGCTACAGCCTTTTATAGTTTGGCTCTGCCAAACAGTGTGGCAGGAGGTGGACAAAGCCATGTGGCCACCTCGTTTCCCTCCCCCTCACCCCCCATAATAGTGTTCCACTCATATGGCATAGGATCCATCACTCTGTTGAGATTTACAATAGAGCTGTGCTTAGGATGGAAGGAAGATGGTCCTGTGGTTACAGCACAAGACCTGGCTCCAGTTCCCAGTCTGTCCTGAGTGATCATGAGCAAGTTGCTTACCCCAGCCCAGCTCTCACTGCTAGCAAGGGAAGCAATATGCCTTTACCCCTTCCATGGGCTGGAAAAGAGAGTTAGACTGCTCCTGATCTCTGAACCTGAGTCAACATTTAAATCTGAACAGCAGAGCAAAGCACCAAGGCAAGTGCTGTTCTCCAATGAGCCATCCCCTCTACTTCTGCTGATCAGCAGCAGCACCTCCCACTGAGTGCACACAGGAGATGTTTTGCTCAAGGCTTTAAACCTACCAGCCATTGAGGTCTAGACAATGGCTCTTCTCCCTAATGTAGGGTAAGCCTCTTTCCATAGGCTTTTATTTAGTCTCTTCCTTTTGAATTATGCTCCTGTTCTTTCTTTCCTGCTCAGCTAGGGAATCCTCCCCCGCCCAGGTCTGATCTGGTTTTCACAGCAGTGAGGCTAATTGAAAGCAGGTTTAACACATTTCTTAGTTGTGAGAACAAAATACTTTATTGGGGGGGGGGGAAGAACCCAAGCTCTACAAGCTCCATAAACCTTCCCTTGATAAAAGAGTCTTTAGTAGAACCGCTTTACGAAGGTAAGATGCTGCAAAGGAGAGGAGCAGGGAATTCAGGGAGATGCAGCCTCTCCGCTGTCATATGTAATG